GAAAACAAAATAAAACAAAAACCACGTGATCTCAGAGGTCTTCTGTGTTGATTGTTGTTGTGTGAAAGAATAGAAAAAATAGTTTATTTTCATAGAGATGATTTCTCGCCATGTTGCCCAGGGTGGTCTCGAACTCCTGGGCTCAAGGGATCCACCCACCTTGGCCTCCTGAAGTGATGGGATTACAGGCGTGAGCCCGGGGAGGTTAAAGCTGCAGTGAGCCGTGATTGTACCACTGGGAAACAGAGTGAGACCCTATCTCAAAAAAAAGTGGAAATATATAGAAACCTGATTTATAGTAGAGGTGGCACTACAAATGATTGAGAATAGGATGTTCAGTTCTAGTAAGTAGTGCAAGGATTCATGGTCATTCACATGAGAAAAAGAATATGATTGGAACCCTAACTAACACACTGCATAAGAATCCACCCTACATAACTGCAAGAAGAAGACCATAGGAGACCATCACCATGACCTCAGAGTAGAGGGGAAAAAAGGCAATGTAATACTATTTACAATAGTAAAGATATCAAATAGGTCAATGAAACTAAAAAGATTAAAAAGAGCCCCAAACTTATACAGTTAATTGAATTTGACAAGGTGACAAAGCAATTCAAAGGATAAGGGAAAGTCGTTTCTACAAATGGTGCTGGAACAACTAGCTATTGGTGCAGAAAAATGGACCTCAGCCCCAACCTCATCTCATACACAAATATTAATTTGAGATGAATCACCACCCTAAAGGTAAAAATGAACACTATCAAGTCTCTAGAAGGAAATGTAAGAGAATGTCTTTGCAGCCTTGGGATAAAACCATTTTTTTTTTTTTTTTTTAAATTGGCACATTATAACTGAACACATTTAAAGGGCATAGAGGGATGTTGCAAGGCATGTACCATGAGGTGATCAGCTCAGGGGATTCACATATCCCTCATCTGAAACATGTGTCATTGCTTTGTGTTGAGAATGTTCAATACCCTCCTTCCAGCTGTTTGAAAGTATATAGTACATTATTGTTAGCTACAGTCATCCTGCAGTGCTATAGAACACTGGAGCCCATTGCTCCCATCTAGCTGTCATTTCATATTCTTTAACAAATCTCTTGATATTTCTTTTTTTTGTTTTGTTTTTTTGAGACGGAATTTCACTCTTGTCACCAGGCTGGAGTGCAATGACGCGATCTCGGCTCACTGCAGCCTCCCCCTCCCGGGTTCAAGCAATTCTCCTGCCTCAGCCTCCTGAGTAGGTGGGACTACAGGCTGTGCCACCAATCCCAACTAATTTTTGTATTTTTAGTAGAGACGGGGTTTCACCATGTTGACCAGGATGGTCTCGATCTCTCGACCTCGTGATCCACCCGCCTCGGCCTCCCAAAGTGCTGGGATTATAGGCGTGAGCCACCGTGCCTGGCCTTGATATTTCTTAAATAGGACCAAAAAAAAATCACTGATCATGAAGGAAAAATATATAAACTGAACTTCTCAAAATTACACATAATTTTTGTCTTAGCAAGATGTAGTGTAAATTTATTAACGTGGGACATACAGTATAAAGATTTCAGTTGGAATGAATGATATTTATTAAGCCAAAAAAGGAAAAAAAGGAGGGATGTACATCAAGTTTTAGCTACACTGTTGATATACAAATATGCAGATTTTATCACTGAAAAAAATCTCAGTTGTGTTTCTTCATCAGATCTTCAACTGAACCTAGAACTTTTTCACACCTCAATTAGGAAAGAAAAAAACAAAACAAAAAAACTCAGAAAAAAATAAACTATAAGTTGATTGGCTGCTGAGTGAGACAGCACGGACTTTACAGAGACCTACACGGCATCATGCCATGAGGGGCAGTGTCTGGCGATATACGTAATTTTTCAATGCAAAAACAAAATGTGTTTCTGATCTTCCCTGTCTTAACTTTAATATAAATCTTTAAAGAGTTGGTTGTTGGTTGGTTGTTTTCTAGAAGAGAAAAGGAGGGGTCAGAAAAAGAGGAAAAATTGGATGAACAGGATTCAAGGGGAAACACGAAGACAGGGAAGGAAAAACAGTAGTTAAAAGAAGTCATGCCCCAATAGAAGTATATGGTTTTAAAATATATGGCCTTGTCAGAACTACACGAGTATAAGTAAAATTGTAAGTGTGGGGAGGAAGAACTGGAAATCCATTCTTAGCAATGGAAAAGAAGGAATAAAGAGAAGCGTGGCTCATGCCTGCAATCCCAGCACTTTGGGACGCCGAAGAAGGTGGATCATTTGAAGTCAGAAGTTCTAGATCAGCTTGGCCAACATTGTGAGACCCCGTCTCTATTAAAAATACAAAAATTAGCTGGGCATGGTGGCATGTGCCTGTAGTCCCAGCTACTCAGGAGGCTGAGGTAGGAGAATCGCTTAAACCCAGGAGGTGGAAGTGGCAGTGAGCCAAGATCGTACCACTGCACTCCAGCCTGGGTGACTGAGTGAGACTCCATCTCAAAAATAAATAAAAAATAAAAATAAAAAAAAGAAAAGGAAACATCAGCGGCCCACCGGGCAGTTGTGGGCTCAAGAGAGAACTAGAGACTTGAAGACCAATTTCTGGTGACCAGGAGACGCCCCAGGCAGCACAGTGAGGCAGTATCCTGGGGACAGAGGTGCAGCATGGCAGCGGTGACTCATCCAGGGAGTCCTCTCATACGGAAAGAGGTCATTCAAAAGTCACCTTTGTCGGCTGTCTTTGAGTCTGTCAGTCTGACTCTGAAAGTAACTGACAGTTACTTTCCAAATATTGGGGTTTGAGGTAGAAGACTGGAAAGCTGGTTTTGAAAATATATCCTGCCCCACAACGCTGCTTCACCTAGAAACAGTGCTTGACATGAGGCCAGAGGGGTGAGCAGCCCCCATTCAGGGAGAACAATGGTTGTCAGGTGGGGTCTCCTGGGAGGGATGGCTAGTTTCAGCTACCTCAGAGGAGCCCCTCTGGGACCCCACCCTTCATTAAAGGTTTTTCTCCTTGAATTTGGAGAAATCCCTGCTCTTTGATAAGCCCTCAAGCCACATTTTCTATTAGACAAAAAAGACGTAAGTGGATATAGTGCTCCCAACATGGTGAAGACTTGCACATGACTGGAAGTTTCTGGTCGCTTTGAGATTTCATCCTTCTTACCAGTCCCAGCATGGAGAAGATATACCAATAAGCGTTTCCTTCGATCCCTCTGATTTGATTGAAAACCTCATATATCTGCCTGACATAACCCTGGAAAGTCTCAGAGGCAAAAGTAATGTGGAACTATTAGACAAGACCCAATTTATTGATCAACAAACCCAGGAGGAGTCTTTGGCTTGAATTTGACATCTGGGGGAAAAATATAATTAACTCCTTGATTTCCTCTTCCTGCTAACGCACCCCTCTGATTGGATCTCTAAACCAGAGTGGATAAAAGAAGGTAGCCCCTCCAATTTCACCTGGAAATGCAGGGAAATGATAAAGAAGGTGGAGGCTGAATAGAATCAACCTCTATGATCTTTGTCTTTCCTTAGATGGCAGAAGTGATGGGAAGAGTTGAACCGGGAGGGAGAAGTTTAAGGAAATAATTAAGCAGTAATGTGCAGGAAGAGGGATGAGGGGAAAGAGATGGGAGGATGCCAGGCAGAAGGAAATACCCAGATGCTCTCTGAGCAAGATGAACTCAGGATACATGTAACCAGCTCACATTTCTTTGCAGAGCTGCTCCTGGCCCCAGCACCATGCACTGCTGCCTGTCGAGATACATCATTGTTGCTGTGTCCTTGGCCATCCTGGGCTTCATTCTCCAAGGGAATAAAGAAGAGCATGTTGAGCACAGTGCATTGTTGGTGAGTACCAGAGATCGAGGCTGCAGCAATTTGTCAACCCTTCAGTAGGAGGGAAAGTTTGCCAAATCTGTGAAGCATGTTGGTCTCATCATAGTAGTTCTAAGGAGAGAACATGCGAACAATCAGGAGAAAATCAGAGAAAAAGTATGAACTAGCCTTGAAATATGGGTGGGATATGACTAGAGGCACAGAGGAAGAAAGGGAACTCCAGGTGTGGAGAGGGTGGTAATCAGCCACCTCTAGAGGACCAGGCTGACTGGTAGGACCAGCAGGCAATGAGGACCTGTGTGCTGGCTACCTCCCAGCCAGGACCTGGGCACGGACATGTTATTTTTCCCATTTCTCAAATGAAGGATTGGAAACAGCTTCCCCAAGTGCACAACATCTGCAAGTGAGGAGACCAAACCACACACAGTTCCTGGCCAGGCTTTGAAATCCACATTTTTCCTAAAACACCTCAGACCAGCCAAAGCTAAGCATAGGGCAGGTGTGGGGAGTGGTTCAGAATGTGTGCATGGTAAGATATGAGCAAGAGAAAGGACTCTAGAATTGAGGCACTGGGCACCAGCACTTCTCACAGAACCGAGCCCAGGCCTAAGCCGAGGTGGACCAGACCTTGNGTACAACATCTGCAAGAGAGGAGACCAAACCACACACAGTTCCTAGCCAGGCTTTGAAATCCACATTTTTCCTAAAACACCTCAGACCAGCCAAAGCTAAGCACAGGGCAGGTGTGGGGAGTGGTTCAGAATGTGTGCATGGTCAGACATGAGCAAGAGAAAGGACTCTAGAATTGAGGCACTGGGCACCAGCACTTCTCACAGAACCGAGCCCAGGCCTAAGCCGAGGTGGACCAGACCTTGGTTAGCCTGATGACGGTGGGGGCAGGCAGGTGCTTACTCCACACAAGCCTCGGCCCTTCCCACAGGCCCTCCGCACAAGCCTGGGAGCCCCACTTCCCGACTCAGGATCCATGACATCTGCTGGAAAGCCCTGCGTGTTCTTATGACGAGGTGGGAAGAGTGGTTCCCTGAGCCCTGATGCTGGGCCTCCCAAGGAACAGGAAGCTGAGGCTTGCCTAGCCTGTTTTACAGGGTGATCTGATCCTAAATTGTCTTCAGAGAATCTGGGGATGAATGTCAGGACTGACATATCTTATCCTCAGAAGGAGAAGGAGGACATAGCTTGGCAGACAGTTCAGGAACAAATCAGCTCTGAAAGCAAGAACCATCTGCAGACCTTCAAGGAGATGCAGAGAGACTCCCCTCTTTTCCAGCGTGCCAGCTACCAATTCCTGGCTGGAGCCCCTCCCCGGGAAAAGAGTGAGTAGCTGGGAGGGAGTGGTCAGACTGGGAGAAGGCCAGACAGGGTATTTCAGCCAGAAAAAGGAAGGAGGGTCAAAAAGGGAAGTGACTGGCACGTGGCGAGCAAAGAGGGTGCTCTGAGGCAGGGCCACGCTGTGGAATTTGGTGCACGTTATAATTCCGAGTGTGTTTTCCTCCCACCTGGTCACCCCTTGAATGACCAACAGATCAGAAGGGCCATAGTGACCCCGAGAAGGAGCTGTCTCATAGTGAAGCTCAGTCATGGCAGGCCCCCAAGGAGGGGAAGACAGGAAGGGGGAGGAGCTGGAGGGAGCCACGGGAAAAGCCATTGGGTAGAGGGCAAAGAGGGCCATGTGGACTTCTGGGCTAAGTGCACTAGACTGTTAGAGTCTTGGGTGTACCTAGATTTCCTGACATTCTCGAATTCGCAGGTTGACCTGTGTAGCTGAGATAACTCTGAAGGTCTAGGCCAGGCTAAGATACTTTGCCAAGCCAGCAAACTTCCCTTTGGTACCTGGCAGTCTTGCCCACGAGAGAGCCTTGCCCTTCACAAAGCTTCCCCAAGAGCCTTCCAAAGTATTGACCACAATACTCTGACCAAATAAAACCGTATCACAATTTTTGATCAGCTATTAACCTCCCATGTGGACTACAAGCCCTAGGAAAAGGAATGTGAATTGTCACTGGGATTGGCATAAGGGAAAGGATTGGGAGGAGAGTCCTAGGAACTCTTCACCCTCCTGAAGTGCTAATGTGCCTCATGTCTCCCCCAGGACTGCTGACCCTGGGGATTGCCTCAATGCAGCATCCTCGTGGGAACTACCTCTTGGACACCCTGCAGTCCGTGTTCCAAGCTTCCTCAGAAAGTGAGCTGGAGTATATCGTGGTGCTGGTCCACCTGTCAGGTCCTGACCCTGAGTGGCTCGGCAAAACAGTTGCCAATATTTCAGGTCTCTTCACATCACAGATTGGGGCAGGGAAGCTGCTGGTGATCCACGGTGGCTCTCCTCTCCCAGGAGATCTAAGTGACGTTAATCACTCATCACCCTGTGAAGCCCTCTATTCCAGGCAGAAAGTAGATCATGCCCTCCTCATGAACTTTGCCAGCAACCTCTCTGATTACTTTCTACTGTTGGAAGATCATATTTATTGCACCCCTAAATTTGTTGCTGCCATCTCTTTGGCATTATCAGCCTGGAAAGAACTACCTTGGGTGATCCTGGAGTTCGCCCACCTGAGCATCTCTGGGAAAGTTTTCCACACCAGTGACCTCTCCCGCCTGACACCTTTCTTCCTCCTCTTCCAGAAGGACACTCCTACTCACTTGCTTCTCTCTGAATTTCGTCTTCTCTTGGCCCAGAATGTTCCTATTCATTTCAGTCCCTCTGTCTTCCACCACACAGCTGATTATTCTGTGTTTGGCGACATATGCTTTCCCGTGGAGAAGGATAGGGTCTTTGGTGAACCAGACAACCCTGCTGCTACTGTCCTCACTGACATGGTATCAATATTGGCTGTGATGCCACAATACGCTTATACACTGAATGAGGAGGGCTACTATACCTTAGATCCTTTAAAAGGAAACTACTTGACAGTGATTCTGGACAGGCCACAAAGAGTCACCCGGATAGCAGTGCTGACAGGCTCTGACAAAGAAGGGAGGTACCAACTGCAGCAGGGGCAAGTGGAACTGGGCTACGATCCCCAGGAGGACCCCAAAGGCTGCACTCGCTATGCCCTGCTAGGGCCGCTGGTGGGAGGGAATTTGGATCAGATAGTATTTTCTGAAAAAGAGTCTGTGGAAGAGTTGAGTTGTATCCGACTGCTGGTGTTGGCATCTCAAGAGTCTTGGCTCCTGATCAGGCAGATCAAAATCTGGACTGAGCCTGAGGAAGAAGAGAAATAGAGGGCACAGTGGGGATTCTGAAAGAACTGCCTTTGAGAATGGAATCTATATGGTTGGGAAGAAATAAATTTACACACCAATCAAGGGCTGTTCATTCTTAGTAGTGTGGTCATACAATTTATTGTTCAAACTGGACACTTTTGAAAGTGAAAGGAAGCACTCTTTAAAAACCGCACTAGAATGATAGGTACAAACCAGGACTGTCCTGGGCAAGATGAGATGCAGTGTCCCCCTAATGATGAGTTTTAAGGTAGATGACACAGTCTGATGAGGGGTGAAGACAAGACAACATCCTTCTGGCTTCCAAGGGCCAGAGAGAGGGAAGGTGTCACCATGAACTGACTTGTTCTTGTCTATATACAGGTATAACATCCTCAGATCTCTCTTTGAGGGAATTATTGATCTATCTAGAGTTGGTAATAGTCTTAATAGTATATTTATGATGCTGGAACTGACTTTAGTTCACATCTGTAGACCCAAACCTTCAATGTACCAAGGTCGAGATCTTTCCAGAGCAAAGTTTGCTGAGCTGGGTTTAAGGAATGGATGCTTCAAGTATCTGCTAATTTCCTAGAACTATGTGCAAAATTTGCTGTAGGCTCATATGTCCATTTTTTCTAAGGAGAGGATACTTCACTTTGATTCAAGCACTGAGATGTTCCATATCTTCTCCTAAAAAGTTAAGAATAGCTAAACCAGCAGCTGTAATCTTAAGGGAAGAAACAATGTTACTTACAGCAGAATCTTTCTATTTCCATTGGAAAATAAGGAGTTAGGATTACACATTCTTTCATGTATCTAATCAGCAAATATCTGGATGCATACTTAGTGCTGGATGCTTTTAAAGGCGGTATGAATAATAAGATGAACTAAACATTGATGATACCAGCAAGGGACTTAACAGCAAAAATCAGTAATTAAAATGAAATGTGACACAGATATCAATTCTCTCTAAATTGAATAAATTGATGAACCCCAATAAAAACACAAATGAGGTGTTTTGTAGTTTCTTTTGTTTTTGAAATTTTCCCTTAAGTTAAACTTGCAGAAAAATATATTTGTGCCTAGCCAGTTGCCTCTCACTAGAATGTTTATTCTCCCATTTCGTTAGAAACAGAATAATGTCATGGGAGACTGTGTGTACATTTAAAAAAGAAGAAAATGCCCATGATTCTTGAAATTTAGATTGGATAAAGCAAAAAAAATGCTTTGGGTGGAATTTCCATTTTAAAATTCCAATGGAGGCTTAGTTAGCCAGCAGAAACCTTTTTCTGAGTTGGCCTGATGATTCTTCTTTACCTTATTACTTCACTGTTGCTTTAAATCAAATGCTTTATATATTTTGTCCAGCTTTTCTAGTTGTCTTCAAGTAGAGTTTATTTGAATTACGTAGCTTGGTATTAGAAAAAGATTTTATGTACAACTTGAAAAGGTCTCAAGACACAGCATTAAATGAAAAAATCAAGCTTCAATACAATATACACAAATTATTCATTCATATATTTCTATTCAGTGTAATTATAAAAAGAACATGGAGGATTCCGTTACTGGCAATTTGTATGACTGTGAACCCTGTAAAAACACTCCTGGTTCAAATAACTAAGTATACTTCATGCAATACTTAAAAGCTGTTTTTAAGTTTATCATTGAAATGAAAAGAAAATAAATCTCAGAGACCAAAAAAGATAAACAAAATAGGAACCCAGATAGGTAGATAAGAACTTAAGGTACCTTTTGCCCTGAAGCAATTAACCAAGCACCTGCAATATTGAGCTCCTTTTTTAACAGCTATTTGAGCTGCGTGGAACAACAGAAAATGTCACGGATTACCCAAGATATCAAATATGACATGAGACCACCATGTAAAGCTGCAACATCAACGGACTACACACTCATCTCAGGATGCTAAAAATAAACATCTACCATAAAACAGACCAAGTAAATTTTACCTATTTCGATCTTTGCACTATTAAGAGATAATCTTCCCTGATAACTCCTAATCATAAACTGTTCTTTATGTGGATTTGCAACCACCAAATTAACATGACCAGGGGCTCCCAAAAGTCTCCAGCCAAGATCGTATTTTAAATTCGTCACAATCCAAGTTGTAGCACTCCTCAAGATGCCTGGAAAAAACAAACGCAAATCTTTCAGAGGCATCTAGGACTCAGAATCTCCTCAAAGTTCTACAAAACGTAAGTTTATGGTAAAAAAATAAAAATAAAAATGCAAACACACAAGGAAATAAGCCCCCCCCCAACTCCAGAAGAAGCAAAAAAACAAAAAATTAGAAGCAGAGCTGTAAAGACTTCAAATATTGGAAATGCCATACACAGAATTAAAGATAACTATTAACGTACTTTTTTTAAAAAGTCAGCCAGGCGTGGTGGCTCATGCCTGTAATATCAGCACTTTGGGAAGCTGAGGCGGGCAGATCACAAGGTCAGGAGTTCGAGACCAGCCTAGCCAATACCATGAAACTTTGTCTCTAACTAAAAATACAAAAATTAGCTGGGTGTGGTGGCAGGCGCCTATAGTCCCAGCTACTCGGGAGGCTGAGGCAGGAGAATTGCTTGAAGCTGGGAGGTGGAGGTTGCAGTGAGCTGAGATCGTGCCATTGCACTCTAGCCTGGGTGACAGAGCTAGACTCCGTCTCAAATAAACAAATAAATAAAAGTCAGCACTGACAATATAAGAATATGAAACTTTAAAAAGGACAAAGAGAACTTGATAAATAAACAAATAGAACTAAAGAGGAAAAAATGTTATAATTGAAATTTAAAACCAATGAACACGTTAAAAAGTTGACTTGATGCAATCAAATAGAAAATTAGTGTAGACGGCCGGGCGCGGTGGCTCACGCCTGTAATCCCAGCACTTTGGGAGGCCAAGGCGGGTGGATCACAAGGTCAAGAGATCGAGACCATCCTGGTCAACATGGTGAAACCCCGTCTCTACTAAAAATACAAAAAATTAGCTGGGCATGGTGGTGCGTGCCTGTAATCCCAGCTACTCGGGAGGCTGAGGCAGGAGAATTGCCTGAACCCAGGAGGCGGAGGTTGCGGTAAGCCGAGATCGCGCCATTGCACTCCAGCCTGGGTAACAAGAGCGAAACTCTGTCTCAAAAAAAAAAGAAAATTAGTGTAGAATTGAAGATATTATCCATAATGCAGCACAGGATTAAAAGATAGGGAAATAATATGAGATCGAAATTAAAGGCTTAGCAGACTGAAGAACAAATATAATTTCAGTCAGGGTTCTGCCCAAAAAGAACTGAGAATTAAGGAGCAGTAATGTTCAAGAAGGTATTAACTAAAAACTATTTTCCAGAACTGGTGAAAGGAGCCGACTGTTAGACTGAGGAATCTCAATAAACAGGAAGAAAAATTAATAAAAAGAAATCAACCCATATCAGAGAAAAATACAGAACATCAAAGAAAAAATAAGTTACTAAAGGCAGCCAGAGAGAAAAGAAAGTTCACTTATAAAGGAAAATAATTACCCTGACAGGTAAGGCAGTGGCAACAATTTTGCCAGAAAATAAAACACTGTCTTCAAAATGTTCTAAGAAAATAAGCAGCAACTTACAATTAATTTCTCAACCAAATTGTCTTTCAACATAAGAAGATTCTTAAAAAACTAATAAACACGAAAAGCGGGGAGTACCAGAAGATCCTCATTACTAAAGGACATACTGCAAGAAGCAGGAATATCATTCCAGATGGGAGTCTAAGACGCATGAAAGAATGATATGTAAAGAAATTAGTAAATGTTGGCTGGGCATGGTGGCTCATGCCTGCAATCTCAGCACTTTGGGAGGCCTAGGTGGGTGGATCACCTGAGGTCAGAAGTTCAAAACCAGCCTGGCCAACATGATGAAACCCAGTCTCTAGTAAAAATGCTCTGGGTGACAAAGTGAGACTTCATCTCAAAAAAAGAAAAAGAAAAAGAAAATAAATAATGCCAATTAATAATCATACACTGGCCTCTAGGTGTTAAAGTAAAAAGAATCACGTCTCTCTCTTTAAATCAAAAGCCAGAAATGATGAAGCTTAGAGAGGAAGGCATGTTGAAAACCAAGACAGGCTGAAAGCTAGGCCTCTTGTGTCAAACAGTTAGCTAAGTTGTGAACGCAGATAAAAAGTTCTGAAGGAAGGCCAGGAGTGGTGGCTTATGCCTGTAATCCCAGCACTTTGGGAGGCCAAGGCAGGCGAATCACCTGAGGTTGGGAGTTCAAGGCCAGCCTGAGCAACGTGGAAAAACCCCATCTCTACTAAAAATACAAAATTAGCCAGGTGTGGTGGTGCATGCCTGTAATCCCAGTTACTCAGGAGGCTGAGGCAAGAGAATCACTTGAATACAGGAGGTGGAGGTTGCAATGAGCCAAGATGGAGCCATTGCGCTCCAACCTGGGCAACAAGAGCGAAACTCTGTCTCAAAAGAAAAAAAAAAAATTAAGAAAAAGTTCCTGAAAGAAATTTAAAGTGCTACTCCAGGGAACACATGAATGATAAGAAAGTGAAGCAGTCTTATTGCCGAAAGGGAGAAAGTTTGAGTGGTCTGGATAGATCAAACCAGCCAAAACATTCCCTTAAACCAAAGCCTAATCCAGAACAAGGCCCTAATTCTCTTCAATTCTATGAAGGCTAAGAGAGGTGACGAAATTGCAGAAAAAAAGTTTGAAGCTAGCAGACATTGGTTCGTAAGTTTAAGGAAAAAAGCCCTCTCCATAATCTAAAAGTGCAAGGTGAAGCAGCAAGAGCTGAAGTGAATCACATTATCCAGAAGATGTAGCTAAGATCATTGATGAAGGTGGCTACACTAAACAGATTTTCAGCGTGAATGAAACAGCCTCCTAATGGAAGAAGATGCCATCTAGGGCTTTCTCGCTCTCTCTCTCTCTCTCTCTCTCCCTCTCTCCTTTTAAGACAGAGTCTCGCACTGTTGCCCAGGCTGGAGTGCAATGGCATGATCTCAGCTCACTGCAACCTCCACCTCCTGGGTTTATGTGATTCTCCTGCCTCAGCCTCCCAAGTAGCTGGTGTTATAGATGCATACCACCATATCCATCTCATTTTTTGTATTTTTAGTAGAGA